TGAATCAGAATTGGGGCTGAACACAACAATACCAATGAAGGGAAATGGACCAAATGGACAAAACGTAAGTTATGATGACGCTATTTCATTTCCCAAAATCAACAGAGACAATTGTTGGAACACATATGGTGCCAAGCCCAAACAAGGCAAAGCTAATGATAACAAGAGTGTCATAATGCCACAGCAAAAATCTTTAATTACAAGAAACCGCTTTTCCCCACTTTTGGAAGATGAATCAGCAGTAGTCTCTCAGTCCCAGTCTCAGTCTCAGTCAAGGTCAAATGCAGCTGAGTCGCTCTTTATCGGCGATTCGGCGATAAGACGCGTAAACATGCGTAATCTCAAGGTTCACTCAGTACACTCTGCCAAAGTGGATGAGATAAGGCGGCTGGCTCCGAGGCTTCTGTCTGAGACCGGCGGGGTAAAAAGATTGTTGATCCACGTGGGGGCAGTAGACGTCTATGACAACACAAGTGAAAAGTTGAAACGGGATTACTCTCTCTTATTGGACGACCTTGCTAAAATGGATGTAAAAATCGTTATCAGTGGCCCACTACCAAATGTGGACGGGAAGCAAATGAAATTCAGTCGTCTGTATCAGCTAAATACTTTCCTACTCAACGAATGTTCACGCAGAGGACTTGCCTTCATTGAGAATTTTAATCTGTTCTGGAATAGGCATGAGCTTTTTGAAGGGAAAGGGCCACATCTGAACACTTACGGAGTAAAAGTGTTGATGGATAACCTTTCTTTTGCCCTGAGACCTCAGCCTGCGCAGCTCGTGCAGCCATCGAAAAGGAGGAAGCCGACTCTAAAAGTCTCTGCACCTCCACCACCTCGAAGGATCTCAACACCTCCACCACATCGAAGGATCTCAACACCACCACCACCTCGAAGGATCTCAACACCACCACCACCTCGAAGGATCTCAACACCACCACCACCTCAAAGGATCTCAACACCACCACCACCTCGAAGGATCTCAACACCATCACCGCCTCAAAGGATCTCAACACCTCCACTGTCATCAGAAGCAGCTGCATCATCACCAGTAGCAGCACCAGCAGCACGACCACCACCACCACCAACATCCTCATCCCTAGCCTGCTCCAAAGCAGCCACGCCTTCTTCTTCTACAGCGCCTCTGAAGCCCCCATCCTCACCCCAGGCTACAGCAGACAGGCCTGTGCTGGGGTTTCCTCAACCACCTGCCCCTCCATCAAAGACTCCCTCGCCACCTCCCATGGACCTGTCTTGGGTCCCCCCTGCCACGTCCACTCCATCAAGAGAGAATGGGGACACGTCCCTTTGTTTTTCATCCCCGCCTTCACTGTTAGACCTACCTGAACACTCTGCAGGGCTAATAAAATCGGCGATGAAGACTATTCCTCTCACACCCATATTAGCTAGATCTAGAGTCCTGTCCAACATGCTAAACCACTCCCCATATGTACCTCCAAAACCACCTAGGGTTTCCAATTCACCTACAAAAACCACCTCAGCCAGTCCCTCCCCTAACCTCATGACCATTCCACCCCCACTTCCCCCTCGTTCAGCACCCAAAACCTCTGCCTCAGCCCACCCCGGCCCTAACCCATCACCAAAAACCCCTCCACCTCCCTGCCCCCCTCGTTCAACACCCAAAAGCCACCCACCTCTCCATCCTCCTCCCCCGCCTTCCCCTTCCCCTCTTTTCTCTAAACACTAGGATGCACAGGGTCTCTGCTTCGCAGCCACTGGCAGTCTAGTTAGAGGAGAGACCCGGCTGGGGCCCTGTCATGAAGCCACCTGTGCCATTCCCGTAGTGATAACACAAAGAATACATTACAGAAAGACATCTGGAGTTAATAAGTCTAATCTGGAAAATCTAATTCTTGTTCCGTGTAAGAATCAGCCGACCACAACCGCTGATACTGAAACTTTGAAACTTGCTACGCTTAATGTCAGATCTCTTTGTAACAAGTCTTTTTTAATCAATAATTTTATTTGTTCTCATAATCTTGATCTTATGTTCATGGCTGAAACATGGCTTGACCAAAATACAGAAAATGCAGTTTTAATAGAAGCATCACCACCAAATTTCAAATTTGAATCTGAAATACGGGAAAACAAAAAAGGAGGAGGCTTAGCTGCCATTTCAGAGACCACTTTGTCTCCCATAGAATGTCTCTTGGGAAGTTTCCGTCTTTTGAATATGTGTCTTTTAAAATACAACAAAAACAATCTCCTCCAATACTTTTCGTTGTCCTATACAAGCCACCGCAGTCATGTCACAGTTTTATTGATAATTTTACAGAGTTGCTTTCAGTTGTATGCACAGATTTTGATAGTTTAGTTATTACAGGTGATTTTAATATTTATGTGGATAATGTTGATGACAGAAATGCTAAAGAGCTGAGTTCTGTTCTTGAATCTTTTGGTCTCACTCAGCATGTGAGTGGCCCCACCCACAGCAGAGGGCACACTCTAGACCTGTTAGTTACAAAGGGGGCGAACATTTATAATGTAAACGTGGTCGATGTTGCGCTTTCGGATCATTTTTGTATATTTTTTGACATGTGTTTCACTAACAAACCACCAGTGGACTCTGCAACTGTACGAAGAAGAAACATAAATGAAAATACGGGTGAACTATTTATGGGAATGATAAACTTTGAGAATGCATCGTATTCTACTGTGGATGAACTGTTTAACTCTGTCACCTCTAGTGTTTTGAAAGTTCTGGACACCATCGCTCCTGTGAAGGTTAAAATAGTGAAAAATAAGCAGAAGGCGCCGTGGGCTAAAGCAGACTCGGTCAGGGCACAAAAGAGAGAGTGCCGGAGGGCCGAGCGGAAGTGGCGCAAGTCCAACCTCCAGGTTGATTACAAGATCTTCAAAGATAAGTTGTGCGAGTTTAACCAGGTGCTACGTAGTACGAGAGAAAGGTATTTTTCTGAAATGATTGAAGGCTGCAGCAACAATCTGCGTGTTCTGTTTTCAACAGTTAATAGATTAACAAACCCCCCTGTTCAAATGCCATTAGAGCTAACTTCCAAACGTAAATGTAATGAGTTTGCACATTTTTTCAATGACAAGGTTCAAGGCATCAAAAACGCCATTGTCTCCAATCCACAGATAGCAATCCAACAGCCAGAAAGGCTCTCTGAGCTAACTTACTTTGCACCTGTAAATGATCAAACTGTCCAAGAGATAATCTCCAGTTTGAGCTCCTCCACATGCAGCCCGGATGTACTACCCACTATATTTCTAAAGTCTGTTCTGAGCAGTCTGTTACCTTCACTCACACAGATAGTAAACATGTCCCTTGATTCTGGAATATTCCCAAAGGCCCTGAAAACTGCAGTCATCAGGCCCCTGCTAAAAAAGAGCAGTCTGGATGCTACTGTACTTAACAACTATCGTCCCATCTCAAATCTGCCATTTATGGGGAAAGTCCTTGAAAAAGTTGTCTACCTACAGCTTACTAGATTTCTTATAATCAACAACTCATTTGATATGTTTCAGTCCGGCTTTAGACCCCACTACAGCACTGAGACTGCTCTCGTCAAGGTTACAAATGATATCCGGCTGAACACTGACGCAGGCAAAGTCTCAATCCTAATCCTGTTAGATCTAAGTGCTGCCTTTGACACTGTCGACCATGAGATCCTCTTACAGAGACTAGAGGACTGGGTTGGCGTCGCTGGCACCGCCCTAAGTTGGTTTAGGTCTTACCTTGAAGACAGGAAGTACTTTGTGGAGATTGGAAACTGTGTCTCAGATCATATGGCCCTGACCTGTGGAGTCCCACAGGGGTCGATCCTGGGACCTCTTCTGTTCAATCTCTACATGCTGCCGTTAGGTCAGTTAATACGCAGAAACAAACATAACTCTGCAGACGACACTCAGATCTATGTCTCACTGACTGCAGGAGAACATGGACCAGTGGACTCACTCCTTCACTGTATCCAACAGATCAGTGAGTGGATGCAAAACAACTTCCTTCAGCTAAACGCAGACAAAACTGAAATGATTGTCTTTGGTCCCCAGAAACAAAGAGAGAGCGTCATCTGTCATCTACAGTCTAAGGTCATCTACAGTCTAAGGTCAGAAATCTAGGGGTAATACTGGACTCAGACTTAAATTTTAATAGCCACATCAAATCAGTAACATCAGCAGCTTTTTACCATCTAAAAAACATTGCCAGGATCAAAAACATAGTGTCTAAAGCAGACCTGGAGATTCTTATCCATGCATTTGTCTCCAGTAGGTTAGACTACTGCAATGGCCTGCTCACAGGTCTGTCCAAACAGGCTGTAAAACAGCTGCAGTACATTCAAAATGCAGCAGCTCGAGTCCTGACTAGAACCAGGAAGTACGACCACATTTGTCCAGTCCTCAGGTCCGTGCACTGGCTTCCTGTGGCTCAGAGAATAGACTTTAAAACAGCTCTGCTTGTGTACAAGTCTCTCCATGGCCTCGCACCAAAATATATTAGTGACATGTTAGTCCCATATGAACCAGCCCGGACTCTGAGGAGCACAGGGACTGGACTCCTGTTAGTGCCCAGAGTCAGGACTAAACATGGGGAGGCTGCTTTTCAGATTCATGCTGCTAAAATCTGGAACAATCTTCCTGAAGATGTGAGACAGGCCTCCTCTTTGACAATGTTTAAAACCAGGTTAAAAACGGTGCTGTTTAGCTGTGCATACAACTGAGGGATTTTATATTTCTATCTTTTGTTTTAATGTTCTGTGATTATTTATTATTTTAATGCTATCTTGTTCAGCACTTTGAGTTGCCTTGTGTATGAATTGTGCTATACAAATAAACTTGCCTTGCCTTGCCTATGATTTCCAAAAACTAGGGGTAAAAAAAATAAATAGACAAACATAAAAAATAACTATTCATGTTAATAGTGTCCTACATCTTAGGAAATCCAATAAGAAAAAAATGACATTGTTTTCTTTAAGGAGTGAACATTAAAGGGTTAGACTGCAGCCCCTTTTATGAAGAAAATGCAGATGGGTGTATGGATGGATTTGTTATATTCATTCCACACTGGTAGAAGGTATTATTTCACTTTCTTCAATCTTTCGCATCAAGTACACTCAGAGCTCTTTACAGGCAACAGCTGTGGTCTGTGGTGAAGTCCCCTTACCCTGCATCTGGCCCAGGGCAAACGCATAATGTACTTTGTCTTCAAGATGGATACTTGAGTTTCACATCGAAGTCATCGAATTAAACACGTGCAAAGAGAATCCTCACACGGCCACCTTATTAAGTACAAACCCACTTCAATGACATGTACCAGCTGCAAATACTCATCCACTTCATAGACATTACTCAGAGCCACTATCTCTAGTCTTCATGTAGTAGTAGGCCCTGCGTGCCCGGTGGCAGCCTATTGCGTGCAGTCTCCTCCCTTTAAAAGGAGGATGGATCACCTGCACCATCTCTTTGCCCGCCTCTGACGTCACCGCTGTCCCAGGAGCAGTGAGCTGCACAGCGTGGAGTCTGGCTCCACAGCTTGGACAAACACAGTTGCCGGCCCTAAAGCTGGCATTCGCGCTTCATATTGAGCTCACAACTAGTAAGTACAGTGCCATTCCCCTTCAATTGTCTCCTTATCCATCCTGCTTTATATAAAATACTTTACGCTCCCCGCAGCGCTCTGTGCGTGGCGTCTTGCAGGGTCAACTGAGGACACCTCCCGCATGTTCGGTGTGCGTGTTGTCACATACCATTACGGTAAGCTGGTGTGTGCCGCGTATCCGCCCATTAACATTACTTTCCAAACCTAGTGTTAACTAAGCGCTCTTTATAAGGTGGGGCACCCGGTTCTACGCGCCTCCTGCGCTGGGTCTCTAGGTGAGCGCTTCACGCAGAGGATTCATGGTGCGTATTTTCCCGGCTCCTGAGCTGCTACGTGGGGTTTTACCTGTACTGTAAATTCTAAATTGTCACTTCTTTTAGGTCCAGTCTTCTCGAGCCTCTCCTTTTCTCTTTTCCTGAGTTGCCTTGGCTCATGTTTTCCTGGGGTCCATACAGTGTGGTCCGTTTAGTGGCCATCAGTTAAAGGAGGTGCCTGTAACTCTTGAAATAGCTGCTGTGAGTTTGCACAAAAGCACATGTAAGCAACTACGCACTTTAAAACAAGTTAATCTGGGGTCATTGTGTTTGTTTTGTGTACTGTGCACTGCATTTTAAAAACTATTTTAATTATGAACTTAAGTGACTGTTAATATCAAATAAATATTGTAAACCTTTTTCTAATTCTGTCTCTGTCCCTCAGTTACTTACCTGTGTTAGCCATCCACTCTCTGAGTGTGAGCATAGCCTTGATCTTTCTGTGTTAGCCGTAATCCTTTATTTTTTATTTTCCCTTCGGGGTGGCGTTGTTGGCAACAAACCAGTATTTAAAATTATCCACCAGTATATCACAGCCCTCGCACCACATTCATTATATTTCTTCATCAGGAAAACATTGTCCAGTGACAAGAAGTAGCTCGAGCACTTACCAACCATCGTCCTGAGAGCTTCACTGTCGGGAATAATTTATCACCTTTAAAAAGATTTGATTGGCTAGGTAATAAATTAACCATGTCCCTAATATTAAAGCAAAAAATACTGAAACTAAGAAGGTTCAGAATATTGAAAAGAGTACAGATAATTTTTTATCTGTCTTTTTTGTAGAATTTAGTCCTGAATGGAAAGGAAAACATATTACATAACACACCATAACAAAAATGATTATTGCCTATAGATGAAAGCTTTTTGTGTTTGCCTCATTCTTATGACATTTATTAAAGGTTAATTAGTCAAATAGATCATCACATGAAAGGTTAGAAAAACACATTCCAGAAAAAAAAGACAGATTGGATTCAGTAACGTAACACAATTATACAACGGCCTATTCATAAACTGGCTGCTGAGGATGTGAGTCAAGTGGGTTCCAAGGTCAGTAACAAGATATCATTTTCTAATCCTGAAGAGCTCCTAATTTACATTCACCGGGAGTTTGCTTTTGTTTCAAGTGCGAGACATAGCTTTGAACGTTCCTTTAAAAAAAATATTATCTTTTTCCTTTTTTGATTTGATTTGATTTAGGGGCGACAGTAGCTCAGTTGGTAGAACAATGGTCTTTGGACCTAATGGTCGTGGGTTCGATCCCACTACGACCCATGTCAACTGCTCCCACTGATGTCTGCTGTCGTTGTGTCCCTGGGCAAGACACTTAACCCCAATGTGCCTGAAGTCCCCGCTGAAAGACCAAGGCTGCATCTGTGTCGAAGGAGCAGCCATCTTCCCGTGGACCCACCACCTGCAGGAAGATCAGCAAGGGACTGGTGCTGTGTGAATTGAGTGGCAGTTCTGATTGCCACCCCCCTGACCCAGAAATGGAAAATAAAGGGATGTAAATGAAATGAAATGATTTGATTTGATTTTTTTGTAGCTTCTCTGCCCATCACAAGGGAAAAGGGGATGTGGGGAACTAAAAGGGGACAAAAAGTCAAGTGTGATGCATGCCAACCAGTGCAATAATATAAATGCAATGTAACACTTGAATAAAAATTTTGTCACAAAAAAAGAAGCTTTGAACATTCTAAAAAACAGTCATATGAGCGTGTGATGAAATATAGAATGAAAGATGTTTCAGCACACGTAGCCCATCAATAAAAGTACTGTTCAGTGTGAGTTAGTTTTTGTGGTTCCGAGCGTTGCTTGTGAGTAAGTTAGACACACAGAAATGCCGTGTCAACTCGATACACACGGTAAGGAATGTTAAGACATATATTATATCGTTTTTTAAACAAAACAGCAGCCTCTTTGCGATGTCGCCTCATAATGGATCAACTGTTGCACTCCCAAATAATCAGATTATGCCATGACATCATTCTTCAGGCCATCCCGAATTGTTTATGAGCATCTTAAGATATTTGTATACAAAGTGGTTTCCACTGCATGTGTCCACATATAGTACATAGTGAAAAGTATTCAACCACAAACACATTCAGTTTATACTATGCACTCCCTGTAGTGTACTGCTCTGACCTCACCATACCTGTAATAATGGTCGCTCAAAGCCTCTGATTTTCTTTCTGTTTTGTTATGTAAAACTGAAAGAAGGATAAGCAGCTTTCTCCCATCATGCTCCTTGTAAATGGCACTGAGCTCAGTTGTTCCGTGTTTCAACTTTCAACCTTCTCCATCGACTCCCACTGATGTCTACTGTTGTTGTGTTCTTGGCAAGACACTTAACCTCTGGGAACACCAGCCACAGTGGGGCGGCTGCGGCTGTAAAGTGCCAAACTACCGTTGTGTCCTTAGGCAAGACACTTCACCCCCATTGCCTAGAATGAGTCTGGTGTGTGTGTGAATGGTCAGAGGGGCCGATGGCACATACTGGTTGCCTCGCTTTCAGTGTACCCCAGGGCAGCTGTGGCTACAGTAGTTTATCACCACCGTGTCTGGAGTGAATAAATGATGATGTGAAGCGTCTTTGTCTGAAAATATAAAACCAATATAAGACCAATGCATTATTATTATTAGACTTTCTCATGAGTCTCTGAAGGTGTAATATGTGATTCTACTTCAGACTTCTTCTCTCTTGGTGTGAGAAGAAGGCAAGATAGTATTCAGTTTTTGCATGAAATGTGTTATATGAATAAAATGTCTTCTTATTTTTTATGTCTTTATGAAGGAGAATCTCAACACCGGTCTGTGTCACAGGTTTTATTGTTTTATTCCAATTGACAAACTCTGCAATTAATTAGTCATAGGATTCATAAACAATTACAATGATTAAGCACATCTGAACAAAACACCAACAACAAAACATCCTCAAATATACATTCAGCAGAGTGCAGTCAAGTTTGTGCACAGTAACATGGAAATACATGTTCTTTAAATCCTACATAGAGAATGATCACATATTTTAGCCGACTGTGGTACAATATATACATTTTATTGATGGCTCTGATGCCAGTAGTTTCATGTATGGCATATAAACACATAAATAGAATTCAAACTCATAGGATAAGGACTTTAGACGACAGATACATTATTTTTTAGGCACCTAATTATTCTATGCAAAAATATCAGCATGTGCAATATGGGTCTAGCTACTTTAACCGGTGTCTAATGTAGCAAATATGACAAAAGAGCAATAATTACCCTTGAATATTAATTATCAATGGTCTATAAAGTGCTCTTTAGATCAATCAATTCACTACAACATAATGTGTATTTACACTGGTATTTAAATGGTTCTACTATTTTTTGCTGAGAAATGGTGTACGCATTTCAGGCTCCCTATGACAGGGGACAGGGGTCTCCACCTGTTTTCCTGGAGAGATACTTAAAGGGGATAATATTGGCTGTGAGCTCCTTTTAGCGCTACACAACAAAAACTTATAAAAACCTTGAATTAAGTTTTAATCTATAATCAAGTTCAAAATGTGTTGCATGACTGTGTCATGAATGCAGCACAAAGGGAGTACTCTGCTAGCCTGACTCTCGCCAGACCCTTGTAGATCGCTTCACTTCTCACATGGGTCTGGATCTGAGCCATAGTGGTTGGATTTCAGAAAGCAGGGCCTTTGTATGTGATTGTATAAATCACTTGTCTGTTTTCTTGAATGACGTCTTCCTTCAACCACTCACACTCGAAGCACACGACTCCCATGGGTTGCCAAATGCCAGCAAGATTTTCCAGCCCAAAACCTGCAAGAATGCCCCCCCAAAAAAAACACCCAGAATGATTTTTTGGATAAAAACGTAATGTAATCAACTTGGGCCATCATGATTCTGTTTATTGTCTTTGACTCTTAAAACACACACATAATAACATGGAACCATCAACATCTTGCCTCATATTGCACTAAAAGTGACATCTGTGTCTTAATTCGTTAGTATTAAAACTTGTTATTTAAATCACGGACTTCATGTCCGCCATCTCTTGGATTGCGGTGCAAATCCAACGTAACACCGGCGATCCTGATTGGTCGATTATTTTCTGATCTGCTGAAGGAGTTTAGTATGCGCTCGATACCAGACCCTTGTGTGAAGCGAAACACCTCTGGTGGAGCACGGCGGAACTGCAAGGGTCTGGCGAGAGCAAGGCTGCACCTATTTGTAGAACTACAGGTACATTAGGTAACTTATATGTACTCTGCGTGACTGAAGAAAATAATTCTGATTCTGAAGGGAGAAGGGAGAAGGGAATAAATACTAGATTTAACGAACAAAAAGAGGAGCACAGGGTATAAATACACAAAGGGAGATACAGGTGAAACACATTAGGGTGGGGCAGGTATCGACTGAACAGACAGGAAGTAAAATAATAAAAAGACAAGCGAACCAATATATGAAAAATAATCATAACAAAGTCCACACCTAGCACCAGTCCCAGTGTCAAATCTTAGGATGGCAGCATCATGTTACGAGTCTGCTTTTCTTCAGAAGGGACTGGGAAGAGTGACAGAGTTGAAGGTGGAGGGAGACAAATGCAGGACATTATTGGACGTAGAGTGGATTTCACAAAGTTTTCACAAAATGTTAGGTTTCTTTTTTTTACTAACAACATTGTGCATCATTTTGCTTTCACTTTCCCAGTTGTCTGTTACTTAGCTATGGTCAGTTCAGTAAAATATCAACAGTAGAATATTTGTGTTTCTAGTTGTAACATCTCAACATAATACTTTTGCAAGGCACTGTATATCATGTTCGCTTTAATGCACCTATTCATCAAAAACTGTCCCTCGACGGATTTAAACTAAACTAATACTGGCTCCTACTTTGTTCAGGCACAATCTATCTCAAGTAAAATCTAAATATTATATACTATACAGGCACTATATTGGGCATAGGCACTGTCATAATCTGGCGTTAACCTTCTTTTATGATAAATAATTCACGTGTGAGCTCAGAAAGGGTCCATGTTGCATTATTTATTTATTATATCATAGTTCTCTTCCAATGAAAGACGTCCTTTGGAATTATGTCAGTGGGTGAAAAGTGGAGAATGTGACTTTGCTGAGCCACTATAAAAGTTTGTGTGCTTCAAAAGTTCCTGTCGACACTTTCAGCAATTTCATGCATTTTCTGCCCAATGTAAACGACCCACAGATGCACTCGCTCCAAGGTCAACACCATATTTAGAAATACATAACAAATTAAACTGACAGCAAAGTATCATTTAGACTTTTTAGTTCACCATAATAATACAAAAAAATTGAATATCTTAAACAGTTCAGACAATTATAAACATTCAAAGTTCCTAATGCCACTGTCATAGGATTAATTCTGCTTTAGAATTACTAACGTTAACTAATTTAACAAACAGCAGACCAACAGTTGAGTATCTGGTGAATATAACAGCAGTCGTTTTGGAACCTAATTTTGTACAGACAGGACTAAAGACGGATTTAATTTGCCTGAGAACATCATATCGTATGCACCAGGACTGAGGACGGCGCTGTGAGGCTCCGGCAGGCAACATCAAATCACATAAACAGTCAAAACACAAGTTAAAAGTGAAAAAACAAAACACTAATTTGTCGACTAAACATACACAGAACAAAGTCTCACCACTGGATTCCTCTCATTCATTGTTCATTGAGAGATTGGCTGCTATAGGACAATACCACAAGAAACAAAAAAAGACAGATTTCAGAGTTTAAGTTTTCAGGGAGAGTACTGTCCCAAAGCGAAAGAGTCAGTTGAGTTGTTTGAGGTGGAACTGGCGGGAACAGACAAGGACGCAAAATGTTGATCCAAGGCAGACGGGGCAAGGCCAGGGGAGGGAGGAGCTGCACGACTTTGAACGCAAGCGGAGGAGCGGGGACTTGAGGTAAGCCCTGGTCAACGGAGGCGATTGGTGTTTGGGATGTGGTGGCGATCGCTTGCATGTACCGTGGTCTGTGGGGTCTCTGTTCAGGTGCTGGAGTCTGGAGCTGGAGGTCCACCGGATGCAGAAGAAGAACGAGAAGCTGGTCTCAAAGGTCCTGAAGTGTAGACTGCCCAAGATGAAGAAAGATCTCGCCCTTGTGTTCTGCCCCACAGTGCTGTTGTATTTATCTCCCAAGTCATTCACACTGGGACGAGTTTGACATATTTTAGTTCTAAAAGGAAAAACTGGTCTCATCTTTGCCCCTTGCCTCTCCGTCCTCCACTTCCACCACAGCCGTGCCGTTGCTAAGTGGAGCGTCACTTAGAGTGCTTCGGACGGTTACGCGGGTCACACTGAGCGAGTGCTTTCTGGGCGTCTTGTGGTGAGGGCGGTGGCACATGACCTCTTTGAACATCTCTCTAAAGCGGGTCGACATCAGGTTGTACAGTATGGGGTTGACGGCTGAGCTCAGGTAGAAAAACACACCAGAGATTATGTGCACGTACTGGAAAATCTCCAAGTGGTTTTCGGTCCAGTCGCTGATGAAGCTCCACATGAGGCGGTCGATATGGAACGGGGCCCAGCAGATCCCGAACACCACCACCAACACGACTGCAGGCACAGGACCACATGTTATACTCTGAACCACACTCTATCTATAGCCAAAGAAGACATTTGTATTGTCTCATAGATGCCCTTAACTGAAACTTAACTTCATTTTTTGCAAATTTACAAATATTGCATGAATTCAGCTTTCAGCCCCAGGATGGGAGATTCACCTGTTCGAGCTCTGTTGCAAAAAATAAGAAGAGAAATCTTTTATTTCCTCTCATATGATTATGATTTGAATGTGCTGGAAAAAGGCAGCACGCCCTAGCAGCTCTGAAGTTATTGTACTCTACAACTTCTTTTTCTTCTCACTTTTTCTAGCTGTAGATTACATTTATTCCAGTACAGTGTTTATGATTTTACACTGATCAGATATATTTTTTTTTTCCTGAATTTCTCCTACAGGGGATCAATAATGTATCTATCTATCCATCTACATTGTTGGATATACAATTTATTTAAAAAAAAACCTACATGTTTTCTAAATGTTTTCCTACATGTCATTCTCTGTTCTACCCCAATGTTTTCAACCAGTGAGCAGAGGCACATTAGTGGTGTGCCTTCAAGAATTGCTCAAATATTACATAATTGGTCAATATAATATGAAAATAATGTGACAAAAAAGACTGTTTTGAGCTTGTTTTATTTTCTATACACACTATATACACTATAAACACTTTGAATGCTTTTGCATTGTTACGTAATAAAGGCTGCAGAAGTGTTTTGTTGTATTAGTGTCGGCCGGTGGTGTGCTGAAATAGGTTGGGACCACTGATGTATTGATCAGGGGTGGCCAACAGGTGAGAGTGTAAGAACCACCGTCTTCAGCTGTCCTTAGGACTAGACTACAAAATGGACCTCTTTTGGATTTGGACCTCTTCAGGCTTGGGAGCTCACCAGCCGTCCTAGAATATCCAAAAAGTAAAAAATGTGTCACTCATGATCTCTATTTAGCTTGGTACTAAAAATATCTTTCATTATTACTATATTGCCTACTCTGTTTCCAAGCCTGGGTTTATAAAATAAATAAACATAGAAAAGTTGGTATTTAAACTGTATGGTATCCAACTAGGTTCAAGATCCATCCATCCATCCATCCATCCATTTTCTACCCTTTAATCCATTTCTGGGTCAGGGGGGTGGCAGTCAGAGATGCCACCCAAGTCTCATAGCACCAGCCCCTCACTGACCCTCTGCAGGTGGTGAGTCCACAGGAGAACGGCTGCTCTCTGAGTGTGAGCATAGCCTTGATCTTTCAGCGGGGGCTTTGGGCAAAGTGGGGTTAAGTGTCTTGCCCAAGGACACAACGACAGCAGTCATCAGTGGGAGTCAGAGAAGGTGTGGAGGTGGGAATTGAACCCACGACCTTCAGGCCTGCAGGCCAGTGCTCTACCAACTGAGCTACTGTCGCCCAAGATCAATGGGTTCAAAGGTTAAAGGTTCAAGATCAATTAACTAAATCGCTTCACTCTGTGGGGGGGCATTTCCATGGCAACTTCAATCAAAAGCTTTCATATACAGTAGATTTCAAATTCCACTCCTGTCTAAAGAAATCTCACCCTCTAAAACTGAAAGGCATTCTAATGGATGCTCAATGATAGTTTTAGAAGTTGAATTTTAAATGGATCAATAAATCACATCACAAGAAGGGGCCAAGATAATTCAAGTGACTTTGAAGGTCTGATTATACATTCTTCCGGCTCTTTTGGTAGTAAGCTATGCAAATCCATGTCACAGCGTTGAGGTGCCGGATCCCTAATAGTTATGCAGCTTTAAAGCCATTTGCAAAAACATGAGAGTCCACCTCCACCTTTGACATGCACATAACGCAGTCAGCCTTGATAAACATGAAGAGACCATGTGTATATGAGAGAAGCAGCACACGATTGAATAATTGATGAACATGGAAACATATCAGAAAAGATTGATCTGAACGTTAAAACATTAATGCTGTTTACCAAAAAGGCTTTTGAATCACTCATCTATCAACGTTTGGGTAATTCTGTGTTTTTCAAGTTGATATGAGATATGTCAAGTACAGATACTGACTGGTTTTCTGACCCTCCAGACTCCAGGAAACATTTTCAGTTTGCAGATTGCTCTTTTGTGGCCAACCTAATATACAGGCCACCTAATAAGCAGTTTGACAGATGTATTCAGAAACGTATGTGATTTATTTGAGAGAAACAGGTGCATATTAGTGTGGTCTGAACAATGTTTACTAAATTATTATATCTTATGATTCATTTTTTATTGTATTATTATTTAGTGGTCCCTCATTACTCTTTACAAGTGCAAAGCCTAACCACAAAACTGAAATCTCACAATGCAATGAACTGTGTACTTACTAGACCCAGATACGCTCGTGAAAACAAGAGGAAGAACACAAGTCTAGGGAATATATGTGTATTTGCTGAGGATAATATTATTTATCCAATTATTAAGCCAACATAAATCATATAGTCAATATAAAACAAATATTTAAAGTGAGCCATCTAGGGACAGTCCTATATGTACCTTACTCTTAAGAGAAGATTGGATAAGATTTGTTCCCCGGGTTCTGTCTGCACTGTGACCGACGTTGAAGCTGCTTGGGCCAGAATGATGTAATGGATATTGTATTCTCCACAAACACAAGAGTTAGTTGCCCTCACCAAGAGCTTGCCCCTCAACATTGGAAACCGTAGTTTTAAAGAACCAGTATAATGAACAAATACACTTACCATCATTTGCAACATGTTAACACTTACACGTACAGAAGTGCATTCACAAGTTTAATGAAGACATAATCCATCCCCCACACATGACCCATGCATTCATTTAGCTTGGAGTGTTTTGTTCCTTTGTGTCTCGAGATAGCTTTGTGTCTCGAGATCTCCTCGTGTTGTGTTTCTCTTCAAGGATTTATCTTTTTACAAAACACTGACTTGATTACAACTCACAAAAGGAGCTGCTACATCTTCTCTGAAAAAGTCATGAATATTTAACAAGAGACTCAAGGGAATCATTGTCAGCAGAGTAGAATGAAAACTGATGTGCCACTCATCGTAGTGAAAGTAACTTAATCAAGGTGTCTATACGAAGAATAGGCGGTTTTGTTTTTTACATTTGACGTTTACAATAAGTACCCTATTGATATGCGCTATCATGACTGCGGCACAATAGACCTTGCAATTTGAAGTTTAGGAAAATGAAAAAAGAAAGAAAAAAGGAAAAAGCAACTCATTGTTTTCACCTGAATCACATAACCCTAATGTCTAATCCTGAGTGTGTGCACAGACAGTGATCACAAAGCTGGCCACAATACTACCCTGCATATTCCTATATATTATACAGTACTTTATACTTTAAAATTAATAAGGTTTGGGCAAATGAAAAGAATCACAAGGACCCAATTTAAATATAGCCTGGGAGGTTTTCCATGATCCACAGAAGCCATCATATCATGATATTGGTTTCTGTGCATTCAAGAATAATGGCCTGGATCTCTGCCCTAAGATGCCAATTTCTTTGACCCTGATTTGATTGGACTGTAGAAAACCATAAGGATTAATGCAGAACGGAAAAAAGATTACTTCACAATAATGACATCGCTGAACTTGTAACTTAGTCATAAAAACTTTATGAACAACATTCTCGTCAGTATAAAATGTCTGCATTTGAACATGTACAGCAGGCCACATGCGCCATTCCACATTTTGTTATAATCACTAGAATAAAGTTTTTACTTTCATTTATAATGTGTAAAACATCACCACAAACTGGCAAAGTTATATATGATGCAATTATTTTCTAAATGATTAAAAATGGCAAAGTATGGCTTGCCAAAGTATTCAACCCCTTTTTCTCTGAGGGTTATCAATTGTCTTTGGAACGGGTTTAAATAAATTCTTGGTTATACAATGATTCCTTGTTTACCACTGTCTACCACTGTCTTCTGTTTTTTAACCAAAAACAAGAAAAATACCAACTTTATGTTTATAGACAAAATGGGGATGGTGTGAATGCTCTTTTCCCTCCCCCTTGTTTCTCTTTACACTCACCATGTGTTTGTGCTCTTTCTGTGTTTGGGATTGACTAATTATTTCAATACTTACATAACATTTTGGTGACTTGCTGCCGCCTTGCCTTTTGCTGTTTGGTGCGGACATTACAAAAGCTGTCTTTCCCAAAACCAGACTTTGACTCCATTGTCTGCCTCAGCTTCTCCCTCTTCAGCTGCAACCCTATCAACAGGTAGAGGGCGCTAATGGTGAGCATGGGCAGGCAGAAGAAGAGCAAGGTGGTTATTTGGATGGTCAGGTTGTAGATCCAACGTGGTTTCACCAACATGCATATCGCTGAATCTGGTATGTCGACCTCGACGAAGCCATTGCCATCTGGACTGAGAGCTGGTCTTTGAAGAAGAGCGACTCCGTGAAGGCTTGTGTTTGGAATTGCACACAAAATAGACACGCCCCAGACTGTCAGGATAACTCTTTTAGCGTGAGTGCGAGTTACAACATATTTGGCACGCAGCGGATGTACTACTGCTATGTACCGCTCCACACTCAGGGCTGTGACATTCAATATAGAAGCAAGGCAAACGGTCTCAAAGAGGAAGGTTTTAAAATAGCAGCCACCTTTTCCCAGAAGAAAAGGGTAATTTTGCCACAACTCATATAATTCAAGTGGCATGCCAAGCAGAAGGACCAGCAGATCTGACACTGCCAGGCTGAAGAGGTAAAAGTTCGTCGGTGTCCACATCACTTTGTTCCGAACAATGACCGTACAAGTGAGTACATTCCCCATTACCCCAATTAAGAAGATTATCAAGTAGACGAGGAGTACAGGCAGGAACACAGAAGAGCGCCGAGGACCCAGATATTTGTCAAGATAATCCTCTTTGGACATGCACACATCTTCCAAATCAATATGGCTGTCGTTAAATGTCCAATTGTGACATCCTTCTCCCTCGGGGCAGTGGTAATGGCTTTTGTCGCCCATTAACGGTGTGGTGCAGTTGTACATGGACATACTGCTGTCTCCGAGGATTTGGCTGTTGAAGAAATAGAGAAGGATTAAGTACAGGGAAAAGTCGTGCATTCATATCTTTTAACACGTTTTGTATAATTGGTCAAACCAAACTAAATCTGTGTATAAACCCTTGGGATTATTGATTTATGGCTGGACTTTTGGGATCTACTTAAAGTAGCAATATGTAAGATTTTCAAGCCAAGTCATCATTAAATGGCCCTAATCTGTCAAAAGGCATTAATAAATCATGCTCTTTTCCAATACTTCTTTAAATTTTAACAGTAGTTCAGCCGAGATATTGGAATTTCAAAATTAGTTTTACAGCCCCCAAATGTTATTGTCTTGTTATTGTTTTCATTTTGATGTCCTGCCCTCCACCCTTTCACCAATCAGAAAGTCTGTGATCCAGGTTGCCAGAACTCACCACGTGGAGCTAATCTCACATGGCAGCAGAACCAAAAAAGGTCTCGTTATGATTCTCAAATCATTAATGACCAAACAATGAAGAGGATTTCTATCAGGGCCTTTGTGAAAAAGGTTTTGGTTATAGATATGTAATTGACAAAAATCTTTGTCTGCGTATCTGGAAACCTGAGTCAGGGAGAGTGCAGTACCACTTTAGGCCAGAGTTTTACATACTGCTCCTGTAATAGTTAGCTAGTTTAATTTAGTCCTTATTTCAAAGGGACAGAGCACAGAAACTTCAAGCACAGAAACAGATTGTAGCAACACAGTGAGTCCCCGGTTAGCACACACAGCTAGTTATCACACACTGACTATGGTTGTGCAAATGGGGGCGCTAGATTTATTTAAGATCAATATTGATTAGTTTGATTAGATATATGCAGTTACATCTCATTATAACTCTTTATTCAGATTATTTTATGTATTCCAAATTCTCTGTAATAAATATATACTTTTTTTACCTTTTACATTTTTTTTGATTTGCTGCATTCATAGTTTTGTCAGAGACCCTGCATGTTGCAAACAGAAGCCTTGAGATTAAAGTCTAAAGCCAATTATCATCCATCCAGACCAATTTGGTGTTTTGCACGGCAGAAATACAGGTAACAACATCCAACAACAAAAAGGGTCTATTTTTAGTTGCAGACTTTGAAAAAGCCTTCGCCATAAATTGGATAAAAACACTGTACAATAGAACAAACTGTAGAATAATAAACAATGGCTACATCTCAGAGAAAATACTGTTATTAAGGGGTTTATTTATTCCATGGGACTATAGGCCACAAAAGTAAGATTAATAACAGTATAGAAACTAAAATCTCAATGTGCTGATGACACAAATATCCGTCCAAAACCAGACCTTTTTAAAAATCTTCTAAATACTTTGGAAACAATCTCTCAAAATTCTGGGTAAAAAAACTAAACTATAATTAATGCAAAATTCTTATAATTGGCAGTTTACAAATAACAGACTTAGATTGACTGACGGCCCAGTGAATGTTTTAGGAATTGTAATCCCGGAGGACTTTAAAGATCTCTGCTCAGTTAACAACAGTGATGAGATGAGAAAAAGTTCTAAATGAACTCAACTATGGAAAGGACATTTTTTAACCTTGTACGAGAAAGTATCGATTGTGAACTCTATTACTATTCCTCAGTTCATATATTTATCTGTGTCCTTACCATCTCAATTACAAGGATTTCTAAAAATGTGTGAGCAGAAGACTTTTGACTTAATTTAGCCTGAAAAAATAAAAAGATTCAATGATTATGAATATGGATTCTTCAAGCTCCTTCACATAGAAGCTCTTTGTTTGTTAAAAGCATCCATGGTTCCAACATTTCATTGAAGAATTGTACTGCACAAAAAAAATACTGTTTCAGAAGGATCTGCATTCAATTTTACAACTAGTGCCTTTCCCAATGCTGATCACCTGATGGGAAACAATACCTTGACATTTCTCCAGTGTGAGATCAATAAAGTCTGTCTTATCTAATAAATTAGATTTATGCATTCTTTGTAATAACTTTATTCATTTTTGTTTGGTTTATTTCTTCTTATTATTATTATTATTATTTTTGTGTTGTTGTTGTGTCTTGTCTTTGTGTTAGTCTGTTCTGTTTGGGGTTGTAATTTTATTTTCTACACTCAATCTCCATTAAATAATGACGGCTTATTAAACGAGCGCGAGGTCTGTACAGGGACACAGTGTCTGTGCAAAAAGACCAAGGTCTGATATTTCTCTGTACAGACCGAGCAAGCGAAGTTAAGAAATGTTTTATTAAATTACTATTTATATTTTTTAGCACATATCAATTGTTTTCAACTAGCAAAAACACATGAAACCAAACTGTGAAATTGTGACATGGAGAACTTGCTTATCAGATGATTGAGGTCGCCCGCTGTAAGTTCTCAATCTCTTCTGTTTCTTTACCAATGCTTTTTAGATATTTGTCAAGTATGTTCACGTCCGACTTGTTTTTACCTTTCTGATCTGTAACGAAGTTGTCAATCTCTTCTTGACTGTTGTGAGGAGTTGTGTTTTCGTCTTTATTTGCTGTTATTACTTCCTCTGGCTCTTTGAACTCGTCCGGAAAATAGAATTCACTGGAGAATGCTCCGAGTCGTCTCTCATTATTTAGTTTTTACCGAGGAAAGACATCAAATTTGATACACGTTGCGGACCAATTGTCATGGTAACGGTCCGAGATGGGAAAATATCAGACCGCAAATCGGCCAATCAGAGTACGCGAACGATCCAAGTCATATCATAACATAGTGTAGCTTATTTCCTGTTTTATTTTGTTATTCGTTACACCCTGTGTCTTTTATAGTTGTACTTCCTGTTTCCTGATGACCTGCCCCGCCCTCATGTGTCTCACCTGTGTCTCGTTAGTCGTTAGTGTGTTCCTTCACTTCCTGTTCCGTCAGTGTCATTCCACATCTGTTTTAGTTCTTGTCCTCGATCCCCGTTTGGTTCCTTTTTGTGTTTATTCTGAATTTTGTTTTACATTTTATTAATTTTGTTTTTTTCAGTTCTGCATTTTGGGTTCTCCTTGTTTTTTTCAACATGACAATAAATGGATGACAAATAGTGATGGGTAAATGAAACCTCACGTATCGTTTCGGCACATCCAACAAACTGTGTTGATACTGTGCCGCAACAGTGTTGCTTGTGCTGCTCTATACTGACACCTGGTGGATCTGATAAATCATTGCATCCAACTCACTGATTCAATGAGCTTTACATACTTGTCTAATATTACGTAACTGCATTGTCTGTGTTATTTTATTTTATGTGAAAATTAAAGTGATAGTTGTGAATGTATTCATTAAGCAAAATGTCATTGAGTGATGAATTTTTTTTTTTTTTTTTTTTCAAAACAATAAGCATGTCCAAAGTGCACTGTAAACCCTGGCAACTAAAGTATACTTGAAAAAACCTTAGACATTTTCTGCACTTCAATTTCTCAAAATTATTCTTCAAGACTGTAATGTCAACATAAACTTTTGAGGACCGACAGGGATTCGTACCCAGTTCTCTCAAACGCGAGGCGAGAGCGCTATCCACTCATCCACCATGCCTAACTAGATTTTGCGTTTCAAACTAAAACTTAATTGTAGATAAAGCGTGAAACGTAAAATACAAACATTGCCTTATTTGCTGTTATTTGCAGTATCACACTGCAGAATACTTTCTTTTAGTTGCAGGTTCCATTTTTTATGCTGTAAAATGGGATGCTTTTCCTTTTTGAAAGGGTTATTTTCTTTTTCTGACAGCGGTTCATACCGGTGACACTTGCAGATGCGGAACCTTTTAAACACAGTTTGCCGTGTCGGTGACAAGCAACACTGTGTAATGTAAAGTGCAGTTACGTACATGGTCCGCTAGGAGCACTCGAGATATATGTTACATGTTATGTGTGTAGAGCCAGATGTTGAGTAAACGAGCTACCTGCTACCACACCACGCGTCCAATGTGTTTTCATCTACAACCATCTTCATCTCTACATGGTACCGTATGTTACATGGTGTCAGAAGTAAAACATGGAACAACTAAAGCCACCGAACAGCCTGTGTCTAGAAGGAAATCTAGCGGAAAACTGGCGTTCTTGGGTCCAGAAGTTTGAGCTATACCTGATAGCCAGCGGACTCTCCGAGAAATCTCAAAAGGTTCAATGTGCCACCTTTCTGCACGTGGCCGGAGATGAAGCGATTAAGGTATATAATACCATGGAGTTTGAGGGAGACGATGAGGACATAGATGAGTTAAAAGGCA